CCTAAACTGGTGTCTTGAATCTCAGGCTGACTGCGTGCGTATCCTGGATCCTGAGAGGAGAATGGAGGAGAAGGGACTGTGGCGTGGCCATCCTCCCCTAAGGGGTGATTTTCTGCTCTCTGCCTCTCTTTGTGTTTCTGGTGAGCACATGTGCACTATAGGTGAAAACCTCTCAAAAAAAAAAAAGAATTATTTATTTTATTTCTATTTATTATTATTATTTTAATTTGCTATAGGACATGTGCACTCACAAGTGACAGAGAGAGAGAAGGAGAAAAAGGGAAAGTGAGAAAGCAAGCTGCCAGGTCTGGGACTTGAGCTGGGGTCAGCCATATGGGAGTCTGTGCCTTAACCACCACACCACCTGCTGGTCACTGAAGTGGCTCTTGCCAGGTGAAGATAAGATTGAGCAAACAATAAAACAAGTAAAGATTCCCATAAAGAAAACACATAACTATATACATAGAAATATATGCATGTATGGGGGCCAGCAGGTGGCACGGTGGTTAAGGTGCTAGATTCCCTCATGGCCAATCACAGTTTGAATCCTGTACCTGGCAGCTTGCTTTCTCACTCTCCTCTCTCTCTCTCTCTGTCTCTTTGGTCAAATTAAAATAATAATAATAAGAAATAGAGCCAGCAGGTGACTTGGTGGTTAAGGGCACTGGACTCCCACATGACTGATCCTGGTTCAAGTCCTGGACCTGGCGGCTTGCTTTCTCACTCTCACTCTATCACCCACTCTCTCTCTCTCTCTCTCGCTCTGTGCATTTCTGGTCAAATTAAATAAAGTTAAATAAAATAATTATTTAAAAATAATAATAATAATAACAGAAACAGCAGATGGCATAATGGCTACATTGCTGACTCCCATATAGTCCATCACGGTTCAAGTCCCGGACCTGTTGACTTAAACTCATGGCGGGCGCCTGTGCATGCCCAAGATCCCGAGAGGAGAATGGAGGAGAAGGGATTGCGGCGTGGCTAGCCCCCCTGGGGAGTGATTTCTCGCTTTCTGTCTCTTTGTCCCTCTCTGTCTTTCTGGCGAGCACATGCACCCTATAGCAAAAACCTCTCCAAATAGCAATAATAATAATAACAACAACAACAAATAAAATTAAATTAAAAATAAAAAATATATAAAGAAATATATGTATGTATTGCACACAGAACTATGAAAAAATTAGATAATAATTACTTTTGAAACTTTAGTAAAATAAGGGAGTCTGGCACTGATTATCAATTGGTGTTAAGACAATTCAATAAAAAGTTAAGGAGGAGCCTAATAATGGATGAATAATGTTGACACACATGAACCTATTGATCAATTTTAGCATCAGTAAGAGTAGGCCAGGCAGGCATTATATGCCTCCCAAAGATGGGACAGCAGGAAGTAACACAGGAAGTACTCTTGCCAAAAAATCTGATCAAAACTCTCTTTTGATAAGCTTATAGGAAATATGAGGTAAGAGAGGTACAGAATAGAGGAACTTGTTAAACCATATCATGGGACTGCAAACAGCCAAAGTCAGGTGACAAATTGTACAGGACAAATGACCCAGTTTCTTCAGTTAGTGGTATAAAAGAAGGTACGGAGAAACCGTCACTGATTAAAAGATACTGAAGAGCCATAGTACACAAAAGCAGTATCTTACCTTTATTTGAATCCCGATTTAAACAAACCAAGTGTTAAAGACATTTCTTTTTTTATTTTTTTTCCTTTTTTGGAGAGGTTTTCACTATAGGGCGCATGTGCTCGCCAGAAAGACAGAGAGAGACAGAGAGACAGAACGCGAGAAATCACCCACCAGGGGGGATGGCCACACTGCAATCCCTTCTCCTCCATTCTCCTCTTGGGATCTTGGGCACGCATGCACATGCGCCCGGCATGAGTTTAAGCCACTGGGTCCGGGATGCGAACTGTGGTTGGCTACATGGGAGTCCAGTGACATAGCCATTACGCTAACTGCTGGTCCCTAAAAAGACATTTCTGAGACAACAGGAGAAATTTCAATATAGATAGAATAGGTATAGTTTTTAAAAGCAGATTTAAAAAACATTAGAAAGGAAAAGATAAAGAAGTCATAAAAGTACCATTATATACATAGGCATAGTTGATGGTTCCTGAAGATAAAAAAAAGAACAGAAAAAATTAAAAGATATATAGAATCTGGGCCAACAAGTGGCATAGTGGTTAACATGCTGGACTCCCACGTGGCCAACCATGATTCGAGTCCTGTACCTGGTGGCTTGAAACTCACCTGGCAACTTGAAACTCTCTCTCTCTCTCAAAAAAAAAAAAAAGTGTGTGTGTGTGTGTGTGTGTGTGTGTGTGTGTGTGTGTGTATAAGCATAATAATCCTAAACTTTTGTACTTTTTGAGGTGCTAGGAGAATCTTTTTATTTCCTCTTCAGGGTTTTAAAAATTATTTATTCATTTATTTTACTTTGACCAGGGTGGGGGAGGGGAGAGGGGAAGTAAGCCACCAGGTCCTGAACTTGAACCATGGTCGGCCAGGTAAGAATGTCTAGTGCCCTAACCATACTACTGCTGGCCCTGGGAAAGGTCAGTTTTGACTATTTCAAGTGGCATGGTGGTTAAGGCACCTGGATGCCACAAGCCCAACTGCAGTTCCAGTCCTTGATCCAGTAGCTTGAAAACACGCCAGGCACATGTGCATGCATGCCCCAAATCCAGAGAATGGTGATGGGATTGATCATGGCCATCTCTAAGAGGGGCTGATTTCTCACTGTCTCCAAGGAACACACAAACCCACAGCAATAAAAAAAAATTTAAAAAAAAAGCAGCACCACCCAATGAAAAAAAAATCTAGACTAAATATTAGCTTATGCAAAAGTATCTTAGGGTATTCTGGACTTTCCAAGTTTACAAAATGAGTATAAAAACATACTTTTATTTAGAACTGCTTTCTCTTGAATTCTGCATGGGCAGCTTCTCATCTTCCCAGGTCATGGGCCCTGCATTACATCTTCATGTATCCCTAGGGAAGGCCCTAGGGTGGGTGGAGGCTCATTTCCAATGGCCGCAGAGGCTAGTCAGAGCCCCAGGACAGAGGCCTGTAGGAGAGCTGAGCTCTCCAAGCCCCTGATTCCTGACTCCTTGGTGCTTCTAGCACTTCTCCCTCCTTCCCAGTTCCAGTTCACTAGCTGAGGGCCAGGAGAACCTGTGTAAGGAGAGGCTGTGCCAGGGCAAAGGGACCCTGAGAACATGGGAGTGCAGTGGAGCAAGGCTTGCTTGGACGTAGTTCTGCGCTCGGGATTGAGGCAGGAGACATTAACTGTGTGGTCTTGGCCAAATCACCAACATTCTCTGGGCCTCTATCCTGTGAAAGCTCAAGAAATCATGGCAAGATAAGCCCCCTTGACCTGCCTCCCTAATCTGCTACCATGAAAGACACAGCCTGACACCTAGAGGGTCAGATGAGTGCTTGACCAGGGCGCTCTCATCCTCTTCATTTATTAAGTCCAGTAGAGGGTTGGGCCCCACAGCACAGCGGTTAAAGGAGTCAGACCCCATGCAGTCGGTCATGGTTTAAATCTCAACCCCAGTGGCTAAGCCAGGAGGGAGCAAGTGTGAGCCCAGAACTACGGTGGGAAGGAAACACGAGGAAAGAGGACTGCATGGGATCACAAGGATGAAGGTGAGGGTTTATTTCTCACTGCAGTGCACATAACACTCCAAGAATAAAAGTCAATTAATCCAGGGGCCTTCATTCCACCCCTCAGCTCCCTGGTGCTCTGGCAGTGGCCTCCCCCTTTCTGAAGCCTGCTGGGAGCCCTGGTTGGTCTGTTTGACAGTCCAGCTATTAAAAGCAAAGTTGGGCCAGCAGGTGGCATGGTGATTAAGGGTGTTGGACTCCCACATGGCCAATCGTAATTCAAGTCCTGGACCTGGCAGCTTGCTTTCTCACTCTGTCCCTCTCTGGTCAAAATTAAAATAAAACAGTTAAATAATTCTTTAAAAAAATAAAAGGACAGGTCAAGGGACCAGCTGCTGGCATAATGGTTACATTGTTCGACTCCCGTATAGTTGACCACGGTTTGAGTCCTGGATCCATCGAGACTCTACTCACACCAGGCACGTGTGTGTGTGTGTGTGTGTGTGTGTGTGTCCCCCAAATCCCAAGAGAATGGAAAGGATTGTGGGGTGATTTCTCACATTTTGTCTCTCCCATGAGCACATGCGCCCTATAGCAAAAATCTCCTGATATGTCACTGGCAAATCAGCACCTGGGCATGGTGGATGGATTTGGCCAGGCCCAGCTCGAAGACACGAGTCTGCAGGCGCCTCTCTAAGAAATCCTTGATCTTCAGGCCCAGGATGTAATCCAGCTTCACCTTGCCCTCATCCAGAGCACCCCGATGCGCACGAGGCGCCTAGCAGAGCATTGCCTTGGAACAGACGTCCCAGGTCCTTCTCATCCAGCGTCAGCAGCTGGCGGGCAGCCTTGCAGATCTTGGCCAGAGTAAATTTGACTCTCCACACCTCGCGTTCCTTCCAGAGCCCATACTCGCCGATCAGCTTCAGCTCTTGGTCGAGGCGAGATTTCTCGAAGGGTCTCCGCGGGGTCACATAGGTTTTGTAACAAACCCAGTTCCAGGCTACCAGCATGGTGGCGCCCCTCGCCTGTCTTCACCTGCGGAAGCCCGGACACTGGGAAAGATAAAGAGTGAGAATCTTTTGTTTTGATGGTGTGACTCTTGGGCAGGCCCCTTGATGGCTTGAAGGTGGGGCTTGGTGGCCAGAATGACCAGGGCTTGATTAAAATCCTGGATTATCGTTCTCCCCTACTCCAACCTCCTGGGAAAGGAGAGGAATTGGCGACTGAGTTAATAATGATCATGCCTACACAACCCCCCATAAAAAGCCCTAAGGAGGGACCAGCAGATGGCATAATGGTTTACATTATGGACGCCCATGGAGTTGGCTGTGGTTCGGGTCTGGACCTTGCAGCTTGAAACTCACACCGAGTGCATGTGCGTGCGTGCGAGATCCCAAGAGATGAATGGAGGAGAAGGGATTGCAGCGTAGCCATTCCCCCAGGCGTGATTTCTCGCTTTCTGTCTCTCTGTCTCTCTGAAGAGCACACACACCCTTTAGCAAAAATCAATTTCTCTAAAATAAAAAATTAAAAAAGCCATAAAGGAAGGGGTTCAGAGAGAGCTTCCTTGTTTGTGAACACAGCCACGTGCTGGGAGAGGGGCACATCCCATATCCACAGGACAGAAGCCCCTGTGCACTGAATCTTCCAGACCCCATGAATTTTCCAGACCTCGTGAATCTTCCAGACTTTATGAATCCCCCAGACCTCTTTATCTGGCTGTTCATTTGTATCCTTTACAATGTCCTTTATAATAACTTGGTAAAGATAAGTAAAGCACATTCTGAGTTCTGTGAGCCATTCTAGCAAATTATCATATCTCAAGAGGCGGGTCATGGGAGTCCCTGATTTAGAGCCAGTTGGGTTAGAAGTATAGGAGGCCTGAGTTTGAAGCGCATGCATTCTTGTGGAACTGAGACTAATATGTGAAGCCGACACTAACTCAGGGTACTTAGTATCAAAATTGAATTGTTGAGCACTCAGCTGGGGCTCAGAGAATGAGATAATTGGCTGTTGATGTCAGAAAACACCCCAGAGAGAACATAAAAATGATATATGTGCCAGTCATAAAAACAATATCTTAATGAATAGAGAAATACTAGAGAGAGTCCTATGAAGATCACAAGTAGACAAAAGATGCTTTGGGGCCAGCAGGTGGTGTGGTGGCTGGGGGCGCTGGATTCCCACATGACAGACTGCGGTTCAAGTCCCGGACCTGGCGGTTTGCTTTCTCACTTTTTTTTCTCTCTCTCTCTGTCCCTCTCTGGTCAAATAAAAATAAATAAATAAGTGAAGTTGGGTAAAATAATTCTTTAAAAAAAAAAAAGATGCCTCTTATCCAGTAGTACTTAACAATGCATTTGAGACATTAGCCAATCAATCAGACAAGAAAACAATTCTAATAATTTAATTTTGCATAATAATTGGTAGGAAAAAAATTTAAATCTCTATTTGTAGATTACATGATGACATCTGACAAGATAATTCAATGTAAAAACAGAATAAAATAATTTTGTAAGATTAGAAGAATAAAACCTCAACATATAACTATCAAGAACTTAATTTATACAAAAAATAAGTAGAAAACTATGGAAAACAGTATGACATTTTTAGTAAATTAAAAATAGAATTGGGGGCTGGCAGGTGGCATGGTGGTTAAAGGTGCTGGATTCCCACATGGCTGACTGTGGTTCGAGTCTCAGACCTGGCGGCTTGTTTTCTCACTTTCTCTCTCTCTCACTCTGTTCCTCTCTGGTCAAAAATTGAAATAAACGGGACCAGCAGTTAGCGTAATGGCTATGTTGCTGGATTCCCATGTAGTCTACCATGGTTCGAGTCCCGGACCTGGCGGCTTAAACTCACTCCGGGTGTGTGTGCATGCGTGCCCAAGATCTCCAGAGGAGAATGGAGGAGAAGGGATTGCAGTGTGGCCATCCCCCTTGGGGGGTGATTTCTCGCATTCTCTCTGTCTCTCTCTTTCTTGTGCGCGCACACACCCTATAGCAAAAACCTCTCCAAAAAAAAAAAGGAAAAAAAAATTGAAATAAACAAACAAATAAATAAGTAAAGTTAAATAAAATAATTCTTTAAAAAAATAGAATTGGAGGGCCAACAGATGGCATGATGGACTGCAGTTTAGGTCTTGGACCTGATGGCTTGCTTTTTCACTTTCCCTGTTTCTCTCTTTCTCTCTGTTGAGCTTACTTGCCTTGTAGAAAAATTGTGGAAAAAAAATGAATTAAATTAAATAAATACTGGGACTGGCAGTTGGTATAATGGCTATGTTGCTGGACTTCCATGTAGTTGACCACGGGCCAAGGCGACCTGGTGACTTAAACTCATGCTGGGCATGTGTACGTGCATGCCCAGGATCCCAAGAAGAGAATGGAGGAGAAGGGATTGTGGTGTGGCCATCCCCACTGGGGAGTAATTTCTCGCTTTCTGTCTCTCTGTCTTTCTGATGAGCGCACGTGCCCTATAGCAAAAACCTCTCAAAAAAATTAAATAAAATTTTTTAAAAGATAGAATTACGTGTGCCAGCAGGTGGCATGGTGGTTAAGGTGTTGTGCTTCCACACGGAAAATTGCGGTTCAAGTCCTGGACTTGGCAGCTTGCTTTCTTACTTTCCCTCTCTTTCATTATCTTTCTCTGGTGAGTGCACATGCCCTATAGCATATTTAAAAATAATAATAATAATGGGACCAGCAGATGGCACAATGGTTATATCACTGGGCTCCCACATGGCTGGCCGTGGTTTGAGTCCTGGACCCAGTGATTTGAAACTCATGCCGGTGCATGTGGGAGTGTACCCAAGATTTCAGGAGGAAGATGGAGGAGAAGGGATTGTGGCATGGCCATCCCCCTGGGGCGGATGATTTTTTGCTTTTTGTCTATCTCTCTCTGTGTCTTGTCCTATAACAGGCACACTTGCCCTATAGCAAAATCTCTAAAGAAAATAATAATAATTAATTAATCAAATTTAAAAAATAATTATAAATTAAAAAAAAAACGGTATGGGGGGGCCAACAGGTGACAAGGCAATGGACTTCCATATAGCTGACTGTGGTTCGAGTCCCACAACTAGCAGCTTGCTTTCTCACTTTCTGTGTCTCTCTCTGGTGAGCACAGATGCCCTGTAGCAAAATTAGGAAAAACAAAAATAAGTAAATAAATAATTATTTTTTAAAAGTAGAATTAAGGGCCAGCAAGTGACCTGGTGGTTAAGGCGGCTAGATCCCACATGGCTGACCCTGTGTTTCAAGTTCTGGACCTGGTGGCTTGAGAAACATCCAAAAGGATGGAGAGACGGAGGAGAGGAGATTGCAGTGTGGCCATGCCCCATGAGGAGTGCTTTCTTGCTCACTTTCTCTTTCTGTCTCTCTTCCTGGTGAGTGAATGTACCTTCTGCCAGAGACGGAGATAGAGCCTTGATGGCATAGTCTGTAGTGGACTGCACTGCAGTGCTGGAAGCCACAGGCTGATTGCTGGTTCAGATTCTCATCCCAGTAGATCTGAAACATGTTGGGTGTGTGGGCATGTGCCCAAGGTCCTGACCAGCTAGAGGGCTGGAGAAAGGGGATCACAATGTGGTGAGAGACCAGTGGAGGGTATTAGTTTTCTCTCTCTCTCCCCCTAATGCCCATGCATGTACTCTCTATCATAAATAAAATAAATATACTTTTTATTTATTTATTCATTTGTTCGTTTTAATTTGACCAGAGAGAGACACAGAGAAAGGGAAAGGGAGCCACCAGGTCCGGGACTCGAACTGTGGTCGGCCATATGGGAGTGTCCAGCACCTTAACCACCACGCCACCTGCTGGTCCCAAAATACATGCACTTTTTAACAATATTAAGCTGGACTGGCTCCATGATACAGTGGTAATATGCTGCTTGAGAGAAGCTGGACCCCATGTGGTGACCATGGTTGATATTCTCCGCCTAATGAGCCTGAAAAATGCTGGACGTACACATGCGTGTCCAGGATCTGAGGGGCCGGAGAACTGAAGAAAGGAAATTTTGGTGTGATCAGATCTTGTGGAGGGTGCTCCTCTCTGTCCTGCTCTCGCTGTCTCACTGTCACATGTGTGTGCACCCACTCTGTCATGAATAAAGAACAAAAACTTAGGCAAGGCGACTGCAGATGACACGAGGTCATCCTGCTCCTGTGAACATAGGATGTAGCTGACCACTGCCGTACAAGACTCCATGCTATTCCTCCAGGCTGGTCACAACTTTTACCTTTGAAATTATCCTAAAATCTGTAAGAAAGACCTCCGCACCCATTATTCAGGGCAATGTAGTAATCATAGCACTTGGGTGGGCGATCATCCTAACCATGGCCCAGATAAACCCTTGCTTTATTTCTTTTGCCTCAGCATTTCTCTTAGTTTGGCACTCGCTTCCAGGAATTCTCACTAAAGAGTTGCCTCTCCCCATATATGAAACAAAATTTCTACAGTGTTACTCATGGTGGCATTACTTGTACTACAAAAGTATTGAAAACAGTTTAAGTATCCATGCATACACAACAGGCCAATAAGTTACGGTGCAATTACATGAAGAGAGAAAGAGAGAAAGCACCCCCAAGGGGAATGACCATGCTGCGCTCCCTTCTCTTTCATCTTCTCTCAGAAATTTGTACAAACACACACATGCCTCGTGTGTTTTTATAAGCCTCCAGGTCTGGGACTTGAACCATGCTGGGGGCCATGTGGGATCCGACTGTCTTAGCTACCATTCCACCTGACTGGCCCATATGTGGTGTTATGTTAGGGTTTTGCCATGTCCTGAACTCCTTGGCTTAGGACACGGAGCTTAGACTCTGGAGAGTCTGGAACTACAGATCTATATCACCATTCCCAGATTTTATGGTTGGGTAGGAATCAAATTTGGCTTCCCATGCAGCCTCAGTTTGTCTAAAAGTAGCATCCAGTGCATAATAACACATCTGAACTGGAAAGATTTTCTTACTGAAGAATATCAACTAAGGGGGCTAACAGGAGGCATG